AAAACGATATCCCCTCCAAAATCGTTTCACGTGCATAACAAGAGTTTATTATTATATAAAAGGTTAATACCCATTTTCTTCAATGAATCTGGAAAAAATTTTATGTAAAAAAAACACAAATTTAATTTCTGTCATTTCAAGTTTTCTCTATTTTGGTCCTTGAATTGATTTTTCATATAAAATGAATTTGAAAAAAAGTTTTTGTAAAAAAACACAGATTTCATTATGTTATTTTAAAATTTTTCTATTTTGCTCTCTGAATAGATTTGATCAACATAATGGCTGATATGGCGCTTCCATTTAGTTTTTTTAATTATATTTTATTATTTTATTGCTGACGTGGCTCCCAACTAAATTTTATTTATTTATTTATTTTTGTTTTTACATATTTATTTTTAACTACACGTGACATTTTATTAATATTATTTTAATGTTTGTAGAAATAATAAATATTATTTACTTTATTTTTAACATTATTTATAATGAAAAAATTATTGATATTAATATGTTTGATTTCAAAATGTATGTTTAATAAATTTTATTTCAATTTATTATTTAATTTCAGGTTTTTAACTAATCAACATTAAAATATATTTAAAAAATAAATATTAAAATATATGTTAATATTTATTATTAATAATAAACTGAAATTAAAATATATTAAACTATATGAAATAAGTATTAAAATATAATTATTTTTAGTTTAATATATTTTAATTTCAGTTTATTACTAAACAATAATTGTTATGGTATATTTAATATTTTAAATATTATTTATACATTTTAATATAAAACATATTTTAATATTATTAATCTCAGTTTAGTGAAATAATTATTTTAAAATATATGAAATAATAAAATTAACGTTTTAAGTAAACAAAAATTGATAAAAAAAAACTTAATTAATATGTTTTATTATTAAAATAATTATGTATTAATCAAATATTTTAATTATATTAAATTAATATATTTAATAGCATAATATTTTAATAATTGTGTATTAAAATATATTCAGTTTAAATATATGTGAAATATTACATATATAATTGGGTGATTTAATAGTATGGTTAATATTAAAATATTACATATATTTATTATTGAAATATAAAATAAAGTATAAAATGTTAAAATATAAAATATAAAATATATTGAAATATTAAAATAATATTTATTATTATAATTATAAAGTAAAGTAAATAATTTTTATTATTTCAATTTTGAAAATGAATATTAAATATGTAATATATAGATTTTGAAGTGAAAACAAATCAAAAGAGTCAAAAATGGTCTAATGGTAGGCGCCCTGTTACGCTTTCTTAAGGTCAAGTAATTAAAAATAAAAACTTAAAAAAATAAAAAAAATTAATTAAAAGAAATAAATTAAAAAATATTTAAAAATAAATAAAATTAAAAATAAAAAAATCCAATTGGCAGCCACGTTAATGATAAAATAATAAAATAAAATAAAAACCACATAGAAACGCCACGTCAACCATTATATTGACAAAATCTATTAAGGGGATCAAAATAGAGAAATTTTGAAATAACAACGGAATCTGTGTTTTTTTTACTGTTTTTTTCCTCCTAGATTTGCCCTATATGACGGGGGAAATGGATATTAACAAGTGTTGCTTTTGTATTCTTTCATCTTTCATAGCTCTCTCTTTTTACTGGTACTGTTAATCGTGTACAATGTTGTATGGTACCTTGCATTGGTTAATAAGTATGATTCAATACTAGATACATAACCTTTATAATTACCACTGTTGCCCATGGAAATGCATTTAAAATGTAGATTTCTTCAAATTCACAATAAAATAAATTTTAAAACGTATAAAGATAGTGAATATACACAATACACAAATGAAGAACACATAATGTATAAAGGTATAAGTTTTTTCCTAGTGAATATGTGACCTTCTTGTCTTAATCCCAACATTCAAAATAGATGTTGGCGCTTCTTTCTTTGAATAAATTTGAGTGATGATGTTTAAAACACAAGATTACTAAAAGCTTTGTAAGATTTAGATGGATCAAGGGTTGATGTTGAAATATTTGAGGGGTTTGTGATAGACTATGAAAGTGAAATAGACTAGGGATTTGCGAGACAAGGATGGATTATAGGGGTTTAGGGACGTGTGCTTTGTTTCAAATTAAGGAGGCGGTTTGAAACCTTACAAGAGGAATGCTTTGAGTGGCTAGAAGTGAGGGATAATGAGAATGCGAACTTGGATGCCTACGAGGGTACCATCAACTTTCTAAACATTGAAAGGGATGATTATCATGATAAATTCACAAGTCTGGTGGAGTTTTGTAATTGGATAACCAAGGATATGCCTTTAATGATAAAGAGTGCTCTAAAAGACCTAGACGGTAATGACACCCCTCCTTCAGTGATCAACTTTGTCTTGTTCTGTGAGAACCTAATGTAGAGGTTCAAGAAAGAATTAGAAGAGTATACCTTCTACGAAGAGCGTTTGAAGAATAGTCAAACAAGATACTTTATAACAAATTCATCCCCAGTAAAGTTGCATTCATTAATAACTATAAGCATATCATTCTTTTGCATAGAAGGGCAAATTTTGGGTCTGTTTAGTATTTAAACTATCTTTCACCATGAAAATTTGAAGACAAGAGTTATTCCTATCTTCTAGTTAAAAATGTTTAAATAGGGGCAACTATCATACTCTAAATTTTACCCTGAGTATTTCACTCTCATTAGTATAGCATAATCGTTTCATTTTTATCATGCTTTCTTTCAGTCAAAAGCATTCATCAGGATTTACATGAAAAATTAGGAGTTCTGGCATTTTATCTGGCTTTGATGACATTTATTCAATCATCTGTTGATTAACAAGTCAAAAGATTTGGTTTCTCAATCTCAGTGCATAGACAATTTCGTTGCATCATGTTTCAAAGGTCCAGAGGGTGACAATCAAGAGTATTATTATCATCTGAGTCTCTGTAGAGTTTTAATTACGAATGAGAAACAAAAGTACATGGTCCAAGAGCGATTCATTTGCATCTATTTGTCTATTCATGATTATTCGATCAGTAATTTAACACATTCACGAGACATCTACATTGTCTACTTATCACAACATGCATTATGTTCCATGTAACACTTAAAATATTATCTAGAATAATTTTTCAGATCTACGGACAGACCGGTTGAATTGTTTCTCAACTGTACATCAAATCAGCGAGCAAAAAATTTCAAAATCGAGCTTGTAGCGTCAATATTCTTAATGTACGATTCGTGTAGTTTAATCCGGTGTGCTCGTTTTAATATTTCGACTACTTTGTCGGTCACATATTTGTTCGTTTTAGCCTTTTAGCCAGTCGATTTTTATTTCGAAATATGATCAAAACATGTATATTTCCGAGAATTTTATTCCGCGCTGATCATTTTAATGCGTTTCGTTTAAATTTTTTTTTTGACATTTCTGCAATCGATTTTTATTTAATTTTATCCGATTATTTTTATTTTTTAGTCAATTTAATTAGTAAAGTTAATTAAAAATAATGGTGTTTTTAAATTCAATTTTATTTTATTTTATTGATTTTATTTTAATTATTAAACTTTACTTTTATTAGCATTTAAATTAAGGATTTAGAAAGAAATCAAAAATATCTCCCTTCCTCCATACATCATATGCCACGCGTCTTATGATAGCTCTCACATGGAATTCCTCCCTTACGTTCTAGGAAGAGAATTTCTTATCCCACCCTAAGAGTTTCTTTTCCACCATGTCGTTTTTCACAAATGCCCCCAGATTTCGGAGATATATCTCCGGACATGCTCCATGGCTTAATAATATTTCAGAGATATATCTCCAGAGCAATTTAAACCTTAAACGGTCACAACATATCTCTCATAGCCCATTTCCATTTAAATTTGTCCGGAGATGCATTTACGGAAATTTCTAGAGATACATCTCCGAAGTGTTTCAGAACAGTTTTTTTTTAATAAAAAAACGCATTGTGTATTTGTTCTTAGATGAATTATAAAATAACAGACATACCAAAATGACACAACAATATAGTAATAGAATGTCATACATCACGTAAGTCCAAAATATAATAACAATGTTAGGAAAAACGTAAAAACTACAGTACTGAGATAAAATAAATACATACAACTATTCGGCGTGCCTGACAACTTCTCCTCTGCCTCATGTGTCTCCTCTTACTGGTTTGCCTCCTCGGCTATCGATCCCCCTATCCTCGTGTGATGTTTGCATTACAAAAGTTCCCCATGTACCTCTACAATATTGTCATCCAGTACTCGTCTGACAGTAGAACCCTCAGAGAAGATACGCTCATCAATGTCTGCCTACGTCATCTCCACTATGCAACGACAACGAGGCAAGATATCCTCAGTACAATCCATCTGAAACTATTGTTCCTCTAGAATCTTCTGATGAGTGGGTCTCAGAGGACGAGGCATCATGTACGGATGTGAGACACTAAAGAACCACCAGATATATTCGTCGACGTAGATCCAATCATTCAACGCTATGGTAGCCCGAGCCTCATTCGGGGATGGTCTGTGTGTACCCGAACTGCTGCATGACGAACTCAGGCAGATGAGGAATAATGATACTCGATCCGAAGGCCAGCCATCCGGAGTATTACGATATGTCGTCAAATGGACGCGTCTGACGGTGATCCACGTAGCGATTGAAGTGCATGTCCTTAACAACTAAGCGGTCAAGATAGATTCTGAAAGGCTCGATCGTCTGGTTCCCTCTCAGCGGGATAAAAGCACATGCACGGGGGATCTCCTTAGTGTACTCATTCCAACACGACCAGCCAGCGATGCGCAGGAAGTGCTGGAGGGTGCAAGCCTAAAATAAAAATAAAAAAACATTCAAGGATCAAGAGTTATTGCAAATATGAAATAAAAAAATAAACAAATAATCAAGGCACAAAAATTACTACCACCAATAGGGTCGTGTTGCCTGTGGTCTGCCTCTTCGTCCATCGACATCCATCTCTCAACTTCGAATACAGATAGGCCAAGCAAGACGTCCCCCAGTTGTACTCATGGATTTGTGTGAGATCCAAGAAGTATCGAGGTATGTAATGTCAGTGTAGGTTGCACCCGTGTCCATAAAAAGCATAGTGCTAACTAAAAATAGAAAATAACACCTCAAAGCATGACTCATGTGGATCTCCACCTCCTGGGCATCACCATTAACTTGCGCTGCAACAACGAGCGCCTCATCAAATCTCTCCTTCAAGAACGAAAACCTAACATGAGCACCCTTAGTCATATCCACCTCCCTTAGCACCTTCACTGGATCAGCCCCCAGATGCTCCACCATCATATCGACTGCCTCGTCTTTAGTCATCCTACCATAATGGAGAAATCTCCCTCTGATCGATAGATATAACAAACACGAGATATCATTCAGCGGAATCGACATCTCACAGTGCAGGAGATGAAAGGAAAAGGTCTCGAAGTATCATCGCTTCACGAATGCTCCAATCATCCAGTGGTTTACCAAAGTGTAACCGGTCAAGTATAGGTTACTCAACCCAGAAGCAGTGAGAACCGACTGAAACCACTTTGCATCAGGCTAATGCAATACTAAAGTGTTCCGCCCACTGTTCAGAAACTTCTAGGGATCATGTACTTGCGAATTTTCAGAAATAATCGATGTCAGCAGGAAGTGTATACTAAAAAAGTTGAGGTTGTTATTTTGGATGATGTGAGGGGCGTCATAAAACCTGGAAGGTAGTTATTTTTCCTTCTTCTTAGTGTGATTTTTATGGAAGAAAATGTGATATGCTTGAAATGCCAAGGTGTTGTGGACTTGTATTGTTTGTTATATTTGAATTCTTTCAATTAGACTAATAAACTTCTACACTTTTATATCTACCTAGTCTCTGTTCGGTAAAAATATCGATTGGTTAATAAGATAGCTGACAATTTATACTTTATAGTTTATGGCTGATAACTGATAGATTATAACTTATAACCGATGGTTAATGACTTATAGCTGATAAGCTAATTAAAATGTTTAGTAAAATTAGCGATTCAATAAGTTTATAAATTAAAATTACATAAAAGACATTTAATTTATAATTATTTTATTTAAATTAAAATAATCTATAAAGTGTAGTAGTGGATTTTAGTTAAAATAATAAGGACAAAAATAGAAGAAAAAATGATAAGCTATAAGCTATAAGTTAAAACGCTATTTAAAATAACATCTAAAAAATAAGTTATAAGATAGTAAAATAAACTATAAGCTCGTGATGAAAAGACGGTTATTAAATAAATCTTTATTATATGAGCTTATAAACTATACGTTTAAAATATGTCTTATCAAATAGAGCCTTAGTACCAGTCAACCCATGTATGCTTATATATTCTTGACCTATCCGAGGTTTAGATCTTCCGGACGTCAACATGTTGCAATTAAAAATGTTTGAAATACTTGAAAGTATTTGCGGCATTTAATAAAGAGTTTTTAAAGGAAATCAGACAGTTGTTGAATTTGGATAATTTTAGATTTGGACAGTATCCTGGATTTTATGTTTTCTCGTTTTGATGCTTGTGCTATTCTTTTTCTTCTTTGTGACAAATAAATGAATTTGTAGACATAATGAACAACTATCTAAATACGATGATACAAACCCTGCTAGAGGAATAATGATGCTTGTTGAACTGAAGAATAGAATTTTCACCCATGTTGCCATACTTGCGTTGAATTCCACAAGTATGCCAAAAAATAAGAATAGGATGGAATTAATTCCACAAGCTAAAAAGTATAGGTTGCTTGCAAGAAACTATCCAAATTAATGCCAATGAATTTTCTTTTAACCCCCACACTTCTCAATCAAGCCTTCTGATAAAAGAAATATGTGTAACCTATTCAAAGCACTTGCTTCAAATTGTAGGAACATCTTGTACTTCAAATGTCTCTATAAAATCTTTAAATTCTCATATTTCCAATTTATTGACTTAAGCATTGACCATTTTCCTCTCCATTTCCATTTTGAGTGCATTGAGTTCGCCTGTGATATATCATTCACCACTACGATATTGGTTTTTGAATACTCTCAATTATTCCCACAACTTCCTCTTACTTTGAATATAACTGGATGAATATACATTGACAATAGGATACAAGATTCCATGCCATATTAGATGAATCCCCCTGACCTAACACGTGCCCATCTAGCTGTCAATTCCACCTCTATTTTCCTATAATGAATTCACATATGATTACTCCATAGTGTGCAATTTGGTTTCAATCTAATTTGTGTTGTGTGCCCCAAATCCAAAGCTAATTAAAGTTTAGGGTTAGTTAGTTTGTTTGTTATTTTATTTAGTAGTCAAGTCACTTAGATGTATATAAATAGACACTTCGTAATTCAATTATATTCATTAATGCAATAATATAAATCCTTATTATTTTATTCTCTCTTTTCCTCTTCTCATTAAAGGTACCTCACGCACTAACAAATTGGTATCAGAGCTCCAGTTAGATTCTTGATCGTCTTTTCAAGAATCACACATTAGAGATCGTGTTTTCGGGATCGTGGATTGTTGTTGATCAATTGCTGCAAAGATGAATGGTAACGGAAATTTACCAAACTCCCTTCCAAGTCTTAATGACAAGAATTGGCTTCGATGGAGAAAACAAATGCAATATCTATTTGGATTTCATGAAACTCTAGAAGTGCTTACTAACGGTGTTCATGCACTTGGTGAAGATGCAACCAACGCACAGAGAACCGTTCACATGGATGCTAAGAAGAAGGATTGCAAGGAAGCGTTTTACATTGAATCGGCGGTTGATGAGGTTAATTTCGACAGAATCACTCATGACGAATCGTCGAAGGAGGCATGTAATATTCTTGTCAAGTACTATGAAGGAGGCGATAAATTCAAGGTTGTCAAGTTGCAAACTTTGCAACGACAATATGAATTGTTGTCGATGGGAGAAGACAAAAAGATTGCAGGTTATGTGTCGAAGGTGTAGAGACTCGTCCATCTCATGAAGGGTTGTGGTGAAACCCTAAGTGATAAGATGATAGTTGAAAGGATAATGCGTACATTGACCTCTCACTTTGATCACGTTATCGTCGCTATTCAAGAATCCAACAACCTTGAAATCCTAAAACTAGAAGATTTGGTTGGTTCATTGGAGGCGCATGAGATTAGGATTGTCAAAAGAAAATGAGTTTAAGAATCGATATAAACACTATAGGCTCAGTCATGGAAGAAGAATGGTGGTTCCAACAAGTTCAAAGGCAAAATCGACAAGATTCAAAGGAAGAAGTCTTGGTCAAACCCTCACAAGAATAAGATCGATGATAGGACTTCTGAATCCTCGAAAAAAGAAGGAAATTCCTATCAGAAAGACAAAGTAAAGAAAAAAGGTGTGCAATGCTATAACTGCGAAAAGGGGGGGTCATTTGGCCAAACATTATTGGTACAGGAAAGACAACAGATCGACAAAAGCCAAGGATGAAGAAGCAAACTTTGCACGTCAAGATTCATATTATTCTGATGATATGGTGGTTATAGATGCAGTTGCTGATGAACTTATCGAATCCAAGATCTGGTTCCTCGACTCAGGCTGCTCGAATCACATGACTGATCGAAAAGTATGGTTAGTAGATTTTGACGAGTCGGAGAAGAGCAAGGTCAAACTTGCTGATAATAGCTCGTTACAAGCAGAAGGTACTGACAACATAGTTATTCACAGGAGTAATAGAGAAAAAGCCCTTATCAAAGATGCACTCTATGTCCCCGAGATGAAGTGCAATCTGTTAAGTGTAGGAAATCTTGTCGAAAAGGGATTCCCAGTGGTTATGAAAGATCGAGCCTTAGAACTTTTCGACATCCAGAATAACTTAGTCTTGAAATCTCCTTTGTCGAAGAATATAACATTTAAGACCATGATTAATTTGACTGAGGTATAATGTCTGAAAACAGTTTTCGACCACAAGAATAGTTGGTTGTGGCATCAGAGATTTGGTTATCTAAAATTTAGACTGCTCAATCAACAAATCATTTAAGATACGGTAACTGGTATACCAAGTCTTGAGATGCCTAAAAAAATTTGTGAAGGTTGTCTAGTCAGAAAGTAGTCCAAGAAGTTTTTCTTTTAGACTATTGTTGCACCCCAAAATTTGCCCAACCTTTTTATCACTTGGTTTATGTTTCATTGCATTAGCATAGCATAGTTTTAGCATTTGCATATCATAGCATCCTTCATTTAACAGGGGATCAAGGGTGATACATGTCAAGAGAAGCCTAACCAGAGGTATTATTCAAGCTTAAGAAGTTATCAGGGTCATCAGACAGAGGGTTGAGTTCTTGAGAAGTTTGAGTGTTTATATGGGGCTCATCTCCTCACTTGGAGCCAGTTGAAGATCAGCAGTGGATTATAAGGCCTTGATCAAAGAGAGAGTGTGAGTAGAGCTCATTGAAGTGCCTTGAAGTTCATGTTGGAGCTCAATCAAGTCATTTTATTAAGTGCAAGAGCCACAGTTGAAGAGGATGCAACTAGGGTTTCATCTGGTTAATCCTAGGTCAAGGAGAGTAATTGAAGAAGATCAAAGCCTAATTCTAGGTGATTGAGATCATGAAATGATATGTTAAAGAATTTGAGATATTGTTTCAAGATCAAGTTGAGAAGAATCAAGAGTGGTTGGAGTTGCTAAGTCAGGGTTCCTAGGGTAAAATCCCCTGTTTAGTGCCACAATTTCAAGCCATGTAAGTCAAGATAAAAGTCTCATATGACTTTGTCCTCCACATGAATGTTGTAGAGGATGTTATTAGCTTTTATTTGAGTACTAGAAGTCCTCTATTAGATTTATATAACTCAAGTTATGGTCCAGACAAGTTACAGGTCCTTAGATGCATCTGAAATTTGTTTGTGAAAATCATCTGACTTCCGAGCTATTTTTTTTACCTAGAAGGAGGTTTCACCTGAACTTTTGGTGAACATGAAAGTTGTTCCTCATGATCTTAGCTTTCCAAATTGTATTAGAAGTCTTCCATCTGATTTGTAGAACTCAAGTTATGAGGTTTACAAGTTAGGGGTATTTTGGGAAAGTGAGATTATAGGCCATTTTCAATCATAGGTCAAAATCTCCAACTTGCACATGTCAAATGGATTTTTGTTCAACATGGAACTTGTTTAAAATGTAGTTTTTAGGTTGACTAAAGGCTCATGGTGAATTGGTTTGGCTCATATCAAAGATTGGTGTGAAGTGGTTTGAAGAAAGAAGAAATTCAAAGGCATTTTTGGTGGGAAATTCAAATAAATGGTTATGGGTCCAAAACAAGTCAAATGACCACTCGATTTAATCAGAAACTATGTTTTAGAGACATTGGAAATTGTGGATTTTTCATTTGAAGTACAATTCATGGCCTTTCATAAGGTTTCTTCATATGTAAGTA